AATCACTAACTTATAAAATTTTAAAGTTGGCGAATTATTTTTAGAAACTATTTTTCTGCTTTATAATATTTGAAAACCCAATGTTAAAATTACGTATGGTCAGAAAAATGTAAATAAAACTTCAGTTGTGCAAGATATACATCTTTAAAACTAGTGCTTGAAATATTTATGTGATAAGACTGATGTGATACAAATTTGAGATTAGGAAATCAGCTTGTTGATTAGATGTACCCAAAAATATTTAAAGTTTGAAGCTGTTTATCACTAATGGAGTATTTTAGTACATGTGAGAGAAAAGCTAAACTTAAACAGTTACATTTTAAAATGTCGCTGAGTAAACAATCCAGGAATCTTTGCATTATAGTTGAAAACTAACAATGCACACATGCAGGGTGGCCCATTAGTAAGAGAAAGTAAAATAACTCCCTTGTTACTCATAATACAGAAAAAAAGTTTATATAAAAGTTATACAGAATAAAAAAACCTAAACTACAAAATTAATTTGATACATACAGGGCCATGAGTAAAATCGGGAGACGCCAAATATTACATTTTTTAAATGGAACACCCTGTATATTTTTAAACATGGATTTCCGAGAAAATTCTATATATGACAATATAAACAGTTCATTTTAGTGCGGGGTTGCCAAGTTATGTAGAAAATTCTTCGAATTTTGGAAAAACATGACCTCGAAGAAGTTGTATTAACTTTCAGCTTCTTGGAACAAAATAATTAGACAGGGTTATAGGCAAATGTTAGACAAAGGCTCCTATATTAGCTAATATAGATATTTTGTACAATTGTTAGTTTTTAAGATATAGCAACATTTCTGGAAAAACTTGATTTTTATTATTTTATGGAATACCACAAATAAATATTAACTAATAAAATTAACTCAAAATGAAATGATAAATTATGAACTGACAAGTTGACACAATGTGATAGTTTTTTCCAAAGCCATTTCGTGCGAAGGAAAATAATAAAAATATATTTTCCAAGAAATGTTGCTATATCTTAAAAACTAACAACTTTAGGTGTAGAACATACTTAATAAAAGTTGAAGTGGACTGATATGTGAATAAAATAGAACAATAAAATACAGGGTGTTCCATTTGAAGAATTTTAGAAAATCAAGTTTGAATTTTCTGTATTATTATATTAGTATTATAAAAAATGCCCTGTATAAAATATCGATATTAGGTAATATAGAAATCTTTGCTTAAAATTTGCCTATAACTCTGTCAAATATTTTTGCTCCAAGTGTTAGTATTTGAAAGTTAATACAACTTCTTCGAGGTCATGTTTTTTTCCAAAATTTGAAGAATTTTCTACGTAACTTGGCAACCCCGTACTAAAATATTAACCTGTTTATATTGCCATATATAGAGTTTTCTCAGAAATCCATTTGTTTAAAAATATACAGAGTATTCCATTTAAAAAATGTAATATTTGGCATGTCCCATTTTTACTCATCGACCTGTGTGTTTCAAATTAATTTTGTCCTTTAGGTTTTTTAATTTTGTGAAACTTTTATATAAACTTTTTTTCTGTATTATGATTAACAAGGGAGTTATTTTACTTTCTCATACTAATGGCCCTCCCTGTATATATTTAGTATCATTCAAAATTATTTTTTTGGAAAGGATATGACTAAAATTTGATTTTCAAAAATTATTTTTGAGATCCTGCACAGGAAGTCCAATTTTAGGATCTCAGGATTTCAAGATCCCAGGGTCCCACACTTTTTACGATTTATCTCAAAAATACAAATAAATTCTGAAATCAAATTGTTTGAATTTCTTTCCCTTTCTAGGTAACGATCAAAGTTTTAGGAAATTTTGTTGCTATATCAAAGAAATATATAAAAAAAATTGACTGTTTAATTTCGAAGATGTAAACCCAACTTTGTTTTTTTTTAAATGTTTATTTGTCGCTTTTTGGAATCTTCTATTTTTTCTGATTATAGTGACATATACGAAATATATTTTAGCAATTTAAGGATTTAAGTATTTTTTTTAGCTCCAGACTAACTTTTGTTAAATCATATTAATGATATTACCAAAAGTACTTATAAATCTCTTGGATTTATTATTTGCAATTTTAAACTTACTAAAATTACTTTTATTATTCACTAGCTGGAATATACTAATGTGGTATGAAATCCAGGCTATGAGCATTCATTAAAACGGCTTAGAAAAGATTCAGAGGCAGTTTCTTAAATACCTAAGGTTCAAATCTCATATCTATCCACCTCGTAGAATCCCTCAATCTGAACCAGGTTTCAACTTAACAACTTGACTCAAAGAGGCTTTATTTTTCCATTTTGTTCCTATCTAAACTTGTAAATGGGGCAATTGATTGTAGGGAATTACTACAGTATTTAAATTTGAATATGTTGGGATGTAGAAGTCCCTACAATTTTTTATTTTGTGTGAAAACATCAAGAACAAATGTCCTTCAATTTCCCCAATAAATGTGTTTCAATTACCACTGTTATCAGAATCATCTTGATATTTTCTGTTGTAATGCTCGCGGTATAAAAAGATGTATCCTCGATAGAAGCTAAGTCATTATGTCATTTTATGTATTTATATATGTATATATGTTGTTTTTAGACATAGAAGTTTTCCTGTTTTATCGTTTTTTTTTTTTTGTTCACAAGCGTATTTTTTATTTGTTACACTTATGTTAATGTAAATTGTATTGGTTTTCTTTTTCTTAATCTATATTATACCTGCCTTGTAATTGGGCTCTATCCTGTCTTGGCAGTCATTTCCAAATAAATAATAGTCCAGTCTATGACCATTTTCCCTTATAATTTTGCCAAACAACACCGATTTTCATAAAAATTTGGATTTAGATTCTATTTACCCTCTAATTCAAAGTTGACCTTGTACCGGGGGTTGCTTTTATTCTGGGTGTGGATGCCACCCCTTCTCGGGGGTGAAAAATGTTTCATTGAAAATAACTCCGGGAATGGATATATTGACTAATTCTAAGCAACTTTTGTTCTATAAAGTTTTTTCTGAAAGTAAAAAAACCACTTTCAGACGGTTTTTCGCGAATAATTCAAAAAGTAAATATTTTATCAAAAAATCATTCTTATAAAAAATGTAGCTTATAAAAAAACAAAAAGAATGGTCTGTTTATGATGTCTGTAGACCCAATACAAGCAGAGTAATAGCTTGTTGAAAGTGGATTCTTATTCGTCAAACGCCAAAATTGAAAGTTTGAACGTGAAATAACCAAAAACTGATGCATTTTTCAGGGAATACTCATGGAACCTTTTTTAAAGTGCTTGAAAAATAAAGTTGGTCCGCATTGTTTTTGGCGACAAAAAAACGTGAAAATCGCTAATTACCACCCCAATTGAAAATAATCGTTACCACTTTACAGTTTACTTTATTTATGTACTTGTAATATGCTCTAGAAGTTTCACCGGTTTAAAGTGCTTAGTTTTGAAAAAGTTGTGCTTGAAGTGAAAAGAGAATTTTTTTATTTTTGGAAAAAATTGTCTTCAAAATAACTCAAAAACTAATATTCATACGCAATGCAAGGGGTGGTTTTTATAAGGGTTGAAATTTATAAATAAATAATAAAAAATTAAAACAGTAAAGAAATCTTAATTTAATATCACTATATGGTTAAATTATTCCAAGTTGCTGAGTAATATTTTTCAACATTATTTTTTAATGATTACTGTCATAAGGAGGTGGTTTTTAGGGATTGACAATTTTCAATTCATCATAATTACTTATTTAAAGATTATTTCAACCTATTACACCCTTGAATCTACAATTCTATTTTTTGAATAGGGGTAATTTTCACCCCTAAAAAATAAAAAGCAACCCCCGGCACTGGGTCAACTTCGAAGTAGAACCTAAATCCAAATATTGGTGCAAATCGGTGTTATTTGGGAAAATTATACAGTAACATCGTATTTTACCCTCAATGACTGGACTATAAATAAATATTTACTGTGACAGTTTCCACAACATTTTGGTTTATTTACTTATCCTGTGCAATGGATAAAGTCAAGATTACCAGGGAACCAGTACATATTTATGCTTTTCTGCTATTAAATTTACTAAACAGATCTTTAAATATTTAAATTTTTGTTTTGAGAGGACATTGTTATGATTCACAAGATCAATTTGACCTTATTGTAGTTCTTTTTGTGGAGAATTCTGAGAGATATAGTAAACAAAGAAAGGTCTATTAATTTATGTGATCTAAGGGGGAAAATATTAAACAATGAATGAACTATTAATGAGATGGGTAAGAAGGCATTGAATACATATATATTTTTTGCCTAGGACAGGATGAAGGTATTATAAAAGACCTTTTATAAAATACTTTTTCTTCATAGAGAATATAAAGCAAATTTAACAGCGTGGTTCCATAGCAACATTGATTATGTGCAGGATCAGTAAGTAAAACAAAATAGGGTTTCTCATTTAAAATACTAAAAATTTGGTCTGTATCTTCGGAATGCAACAGTAATAGTTTTTTAAATATTACTCTGAAACCTCAAGAAAACTTCCTAAAACTTGGTTGTTTACCATTTTTTTCTTGGAGAAAAAAAAAAGGGGTAGAGTGTTACATGAAAGACCCTGTACATGCAGAGCTTTTTCTTCAGTAGGATCTTTTGTAACTAAAATTTCCTAGGACAAATGACTCTTGGTCCGTTGGTCTTATTTTTTAACCCTTAAATTTAGGGCACTTTTTTTGTAATACGTTGTATAATATTTTAGATTTCGAAATTTATAGATTGAATAAGCATTTGCCCATGTATTATTCTAAAATGGTTTAATATATTGAAAAGTAATTATGGACTACTTATTTGTCACAATAGAATAGTTTTTTTTAGAAAATGTGTACACTTTTTAAATATCTTTATGTAGATTTCTTGTTTTATTTTGCTAGGTCCTTTATGTTGTTTCTATTTTGTTTGTTACGTCCAATTTGTGTTTTAATGAACTGATGTCTACATTTTTAGGAGTTATAGACGAGGCGGATATTTCGCACCGTATTGATCCCGATAAAAAGTAAGGAAAAACCTTCTCACCACATTTTTGTTTTATACACACACTTATTATTTTTCAAGTTTTTATAAACAAAAAAAAGAGTTTCCTAAAAAAAAAGAGACGTCACGAAAAGAAAAACCATAGCAGTGAAAAAAGACAATTACACACACATTAGTGTGGAAAATTATAAAATAACTTTTTTATGAGGTTGGATCATTAAACCAGTATGAGTTGTCGAATGCGTGTTCAGGGTGATTGGCACTCAAAAGAATATTAAATTATTTTCATATAAATTGTTAGTTATTAATTGTGTGGCATATTATTAGAACTGTGAGTATGTGGTAAAATTCATCAGTTGTAAAGTTATTTTTTTATTTGTGGGGAGTAATTACTTTTAATGGTATAACAAGTTTGCAGGTATCTTCGTCCTGTTTGCAAGATTTCCGTTTCTTTTTAATGATAATTAGAAAATAATCATGAAATAATGTAAAAGTTAATGTACTGTAAAATGATAATAAATAATAAGGAAGTTATATTTTTTCAATTAATGTAAATTTTTCTTATTTTTTTTTAAATACATTTGTCTGTTCTAAGTAGGCTATTATGTGGTCAATGTTACTTTGACTAATTAGCTGATCTGATTTTAAGTAACTCCTAATTATTAGGTAAAGGCTGAATTTAAGTGCTTCATTAAATAGATGAATTAAAGTGGCAGTTTGTTTAAGGAAAAAATTTGCTTTATTCAGGATGTAATTTTGAATAAGGGTAATATTTTTACAGAGGCTACCTTTGACTTTTAGAAACACAGGTAAGTTTATTTTCTCAAAGTCCATCGTGAATTTTTTTACCGTTTTTTGTTTTGTAGCCTGCTGCTGTAACCTCAAATTAGTACGTACTGGCCATGTAGGCCAGTCAATAGAGCATTAAATCAGTGATTTTGTGACAAAAATACTAGTAGCAAATGAACTGTGCCATAATATAAAAGACAGTCTGCAGTATATGGCAGTATATCTGCAATATATGGTTATATGTTTCTTACTCCAATTTACCATTATTTAATTTTTATGCAAAAAAACGAATTTTTTTTTAGTTTTTTGCTTATAACTAATGAAGCAATCTGGATGCTATAAAGATACAATTTGTAGTAAATCGAAATACGTATAAAACGAGAGGTCGATCGATCCGATTGGATAATTAGAAAGGAAGAAAACCCGGAAGTAGCGGAAAATTTAGCGTTTTTAAAAAAAATCATTACTCCGCCATTTTTTAAGTTGTAGAGCTGACCCTGTGTACAAAAGTAATAAATTATATGTATTTTAGGTGTGCGCAAAGTAGCTGTCAGATCATTAGTTTTGGCACAATTGCAATTTGAATTTTTTGAGCACTATTTTGTAAAGTATCTGGATGCATTGGAGGTAGTTCGATTTTAATCTTTCAGCCGGATTTTAAAAGTAGAAGTATAATGCTATAAAACATATTCTAATTTTCTGATAAAATGATGCGAAATAGGTGAAAAATTCTTCCAAACATGCTCAAAAACATCCAAGCGCGTGTAGGCGGTCGAGTAGTGGGGGAAGATCAGAAGATTGCAAAATTAAATAATGGTAAAGTGTAGTAGGAAACATATAAGCATATATCTACATACTGTCTTTTATATGATAGCACAGTCTGTTTGCTACTAGTATTTTTGTCACAAACAAAACCTCTATTGATTGGCCTAATGAGTGCATATAAAATTTGGAGCCATAGCATGTATTCTTGTCAAATCTTACCTTTCTTGATTCATACACAGGGTTTAACTTCGAGTGGGAGTCATATTTATACAGAGGCTTCCTTTGACCTTCAGAAATAGTTTATTTTTTCAAATTCCGTCGTAAAAGCTTTTTTTTTTCCTTTGTTTTAGTAATTTTTATACCATGTCGTCGCTGGAGAAGCTAGTGTAACCTCAAATAACGGCGCCCATTAGTCACAGCGCATGCACAATTTCACACCATTCGCCGCGAGTTACTTTTGTTGTGTGGGTGTTTGCTACACAAACAGTATTTAACAAGTAACCTAACTCAAACAGTAATCATTAATGATAAATAAATACACAAAAATAAATAGTCTGTTGATGGCTTCCAGCGATGAAAAACATTCAAATTCACAGTTAGATGTACTGTGTCTAAATGCAGAACAACAACTGATCCCCTTCGTTCCGTCACCGTCCCTTCATATGCACTGTACGTTGCCTACAATTCATGTATTTGAATATTACAGTGGCGATGTTCACAAGTAATAAGGTGCATTTCAAAGAACTAATTATAACTCGACTATTTATCTGATTAAAAAAAAATACCCCTAAAATATTGACCCCCACTTAAAGTTACACCCTGTATATGTAACGTCACTAAACAACGAAATAAATACCTTATAAGGTTATACACTTCCACTACACAAAATACTTTGCAAAATACTGGTACCATTTTAAATATGATTAATAAAATTTAAACTTAACAAAACGCCACTGTGCACTACAAATTTTGTTTCAATTCTAGTAAAAACTTCACGCAAAAATAATTCTCCAATAGTAGTTTTGGATTTCAACTACCAGTGGCGTAAATATGGAGGAGTGCATGCAGACTTCCATTTGTAAAACATAACTTCTACACCTATGGCTTTTTGTAAATACTTTTAATAACACTTTTACGAAAAAAAAAAATTCTTATTTTCTTAAATACTGGAGTAAATTGCATGATCACAATTTTTTTTTTTTGTTTTTAAGTTAGGAAACTTAAAAGACCTTTATTTTGTAGGTTAATATAAATAAATAACTGGATCCGAATAAAGTTGAAGTACAAAATTATAACAAATTGACGAATTATCTAAACACGGTGTAAAAATACCCCTTCTAAAGAAACGGGACTCTTATTTGAAAATTATTTCAAATTTAATTTTCTATATTTTTAAAAATTTATTAACTTGTTTCCATATTCTTTGGAATCCAATAGGAGAGACGAGCAAATTTAAAATAGAATATGTTTATGAAATGACAAAACATGTTATTTAGATTGAGTTAGACCATTGTCTAATGATACAGTGTTACCATAGTTGTCACGGTAGATCTTGTTTCTATATCTGCTGTTGTCCCTGTTTTTAAGTATTACCAAACTTAACTTCAATTTGTTTTAACATCTCAGGGGGAACATCTCAAAAACTATCTGATCGATTTTGTCCAGGTTTGTTTTATTCAAAAGTATACATATTGACGTATGCTGACAAATTTCTTTGTCGACTGGGAGCGCTGTTGTTATGTCATGATAAAAAATTTCCCTTACACAGTGAGCGGTTCCGAAGATTACATGCAGTCAGTTGATCTCCTAACAAAAATTTCAAAAAGATTCTCAAAATGTAATGTATGATACTCTTCGCAACGTAGGATTTAAAAAAAATTTTGTTTACGAAATGGCAAGTAATTTAACATTACATTCATTTTTCAACCACCTTAACTTCCGAACTTTCTGGTTTGTCAAAAAAAAATAAAGTGAAAAAATATATATGTATAAGTTCCGAAGTAGAAAACATGTTCGAAAATATATAAAATTTTAGAAGCAATTGGTCGAATTGCTTTCCGAATATTTTGGGAACCGTCTTTGAATAGTATGTTTGAAGATAATCACGGTTTGAAGTTTGGGAAAGAATTGACGCGCTTGGGAACGTGCTTGCTCATCAGCTTCTCGGTGAGTTGCCCATACCTTTTACAGTCCTTGGAATATCAAGAAATCATTTACGTACGATATTCCTCATATTCCATATTTTTGGAAAAATCGATTTTTGTCAAAAAAAAAATAATTACATATATTATATACTGAGAAAACTTTTTTACTTTAACGTTAATCTGCAATTCCTGGACTATAGAGTAGGTTCTCCGCAGTACTTGCAGCATCTTTTGCAGCGATCCATGACTGCCTTCCCTGAATCCTTCATGGGTTGCATTGTGAGTTTTGACTTGGGCGGTATGCACTCATTCTGTGTCTTTGATCTCACAACGTTTCTTTCTACCTTGATGCCTAATGCATTCCGGTAAATTGCCCATAAATTCCAGAATTATTGGAATTTCAGTATGAAATTTACACAATATTCATAAGACTACAGCATACAGATACAGATCGTAATTTTTTTATATCTCAAATTTTGTTAAAAATCAATTTGTCATGAAAGTTTTTTGTAAGAGCATAGAAAGTATCCCCTAACAAAATGTTTCAATATCAAAATGTGGCCATTTTAATTTTTACCAACCGCCACTGCTAATAATGTTCTTCAAATTAGAATAATTACAGAAAACCAAATTTGATAGTCACAATTTACAGAAAAGGAGGAATCGTCGAGTACAATCCTTTATTATGGAATTGTTATTACAACTGATCATTTCCAATGGTCTTGCTGAAGGAATTTTGATTACAAGTTTAGTATTTTACAAAGCATTATTTTATTATATTTTTTTTACGATAATTAAATCAAATTTGTATCGAAAAGTACTTTGGTAGTAAAATAATTATTTTTAAAAAACCATTTAATAATATAAAAATTTACAAGGGAGAAAGAACTTGAGCATTGCTAAGGGTTTGGATTTTTTCTTCCAATTTTATAAGTACAGTTACTCAGTTATTATGTTAAAAAGTGGTAAAGGCATCTATACCCAAGCATTAGCATACTAAATTTAATTTAAATGCGATAAAATATTAGTTATTTGAAAAAACTAATATTTTTTCTAACTTTGCTGTTCTCTAACAGATAAACAAAGGAACATTAAATATGAGTAAGTAATTAAATCTATTTTTGAATCTAAGAATCTAGTAGATGTATACGGAATATTGAGTCGCACTGTATTTAAAAACAAAGCCGTCTGGGAATTCACTCTTTTTGCATTAGAGCTTATTTTTATGGTAATTTAAAAAAAAAGGTGAAGTCACCTATGCCTCTTTGTTCCTATGATGGCTTTAGTTAATTAACTATTGGACGTATCGGACCTGGATTTTAGAGACAATTAAAAATAGGGTTAAATTTTTATTTTTATAATTATAAACTTGCTAGTAGCAGTAAAAGTTAACGTTAATGAACGGTCTGCACGCAGGCGTTCACGCGAGTGCGCGGGTCCGGCGCTCCCACCTGCAGGCCGTTCATTAACGTTAACAAAGATGTATAGGTGATTTCTCTCTTTCTTAAAATTACCATAAAAATAAGTTCTATTTAATGCAAAAAGAGAAAATTCCCAAGCGGCTCTTACTTGACCCTGGGACAATTTGTTTATAACGCCGTTTTGCACGTTCTACTTTGTTATTTGTAAAGGGCAACTTAATTCCAACTTTAAGAAATTTCTCTTTTTTCAATGCATTTCTTTGTATCAATTAGAACCTATATCTACGATATTAATTTATAAAATTGACATTTAGTAATTAAACAATTAGTTGCAAAATACAAAAAAAATTAATTAAATAGCTGGAGCAACAATTTCAGTCAATTGAATCGGTGTTTAGCACACATGTTGGTTGTTGACCGTTTTTTTCCATAAATTCCCTCAACATCCATCGCTTTTTGCAATAATAATGCGCAATTTTCGAAAACTCATATTTTTACAGATAACAAATAGGTGAAAAATGACTAGGTAATTGTAGGTAATTTAATTGCCTACAACATAAAAATATAGCTTATATATCAATAGGTCTATATTTTTAGTCAGTAAAAAAAGTGAAAAAACATGTAAATTAGCCACTTATTTGCAGTTTGCCAACTTAGCGTCACTTCCTTCGAGTTCTTTTTTTGATATTATCATTCTACATACCCTTCCAATAAAATGTCTACTAATAATTTTTTCAAGTTTTCAGGTTTTGTGATCTAATTCGACTGAAGTAATATAGTTTTACATACAAATAAGGACACAAAAATATGTTTTAGTTAATATTTTTAACTGATCAAGTGTTAACATTCTGGTACTTTTCATTTTTTTAATGGAATTTAAAATGTGATATTTCAAAATTATAAAATGGTTGTTTTTCAAAATACATATCTGTAGACACTGAATAAATTTTGTTTCTGTAAAATTTTGTAAGAATTTTTTATTACTGCATTACACTGATTTGCGGAAAAATAAAGGTGTTCATGAATTCAAATAAAAAACTGATACACTGTTTGGTGATTATATTTACATAAAAGTGATATTAACTAAAATACTATAGCAGTAACTTTAAAATACATCTGAGAATGGAAAAGCTGCCTTGAAAGGATAAGACAAATCAGCTAAGAAACAAGCCGTACCTGCCAAACCTTCGTACAAACTGTAAGGATGATCGGGCATTCTTGCGTTACTTTTAAACTCGTCACTGTTCATAAATTCGTAAAATCGAATTGCCCTGTACAGGTATTTGTGGTCTCCTTTGGTTAGCCTGTACAGAAGTAAGAACACGTAACCATTTCCAGCTATACCGTGACACAGTCCAGGACCTTTTTTAAGTAAACCTTTATCCCAAATCAAATCTGCCATTTGTTTGCAAGACTGAAGGTATTTGTCCTCTCTGAACACTAAATATGCTTTTGCCATTAGGTATACTACACCAGGAGCTCCGTGGCACCAATGTATTAGATCTGATCTATGGTCGACTTCATCCATAGCAGCAGGAAAGTTGCCTGTGATCAATATTTTGTTTTACATTACGTTTGAAAATATTTTAGATTTTTACAGCTCAGCCAAATCGAAGTACTATTTTTTAGTAGTTTTACTTCTCCCATCTATTCAAAACTAAAAGAAAAAAATATACCTTGTCCTTTCACATCAGTGCAGTGCATTAGAAATCACAGCTTTAACAAATTAAAAGTACAATAAATCTCTCAATTGGTTTTATTTTAGCAACAGTTCCAAATTAATTCAAAAGTATTAGATTATATTAATGCATTGTACAGGGTGACCTGAAATTCTCTTTTTTTATCGTTATATTTGCTGTAAAGATATTTGAATGTATCTGTATACGGAATATAGTTTAGTAGATTTAAATGACAAAATTGTTTCCATGCAAATAGTAAATAACTCAGATTATATGTTATTAATGCCTATTTACCATAAAATATGAAAAATGAATACACATTTATAACATGTACCTACATATTTTGAACTGAACATTCATAACTTTTTTAAACATCAATTTGACTGAGAGCTGCGACTGCTTAACAGTTTCTAATTTAAACATATTTCCAGCTTAAATTAAATAAATTCATTATTATTTTTACCTTCTCTAGTCTGCAGAGATAATAAAAAATCAATGGTTGTTTTGATACCATTAGCATCTGAAGGGTTAGCATCCAAAAATCCAGGAACTGATAATAACACTTGTAATATGGAGCAAAGCCCATGTGCTGCTCCAAGATATTCCACTTGATAATAAGCATACATCAGTGGACAAGGGCAATGCTGTCTTAATGCATATTCTCTTCCAGATGTAATCATAATTTTACATAATTCGTATATATCTTGTTTTTGGAGAGGAGTTTTAGTTTCTTTAGATAACCATATTGCTCCCAAGATGTAGCCTGAGATTGAATATTAATTTAATACATTACTACATGTTGAATTTACTGTTGAAATTGTGAAATTTAACTATTTTTTAAGAGGGAATTTCTTTGTAAATATGCAGTGGCAGCTCGTGACATTGAGAATAGATCACGCATATTCATCGATTGACTAAACAGAAAAAAAAGCGCCGCCGGCAAAAATTTTCAAATTTTCAAGGTCAAACGGCTTTAAATAAATTGGAAATTTTTAGTTGCATTTGCAATATTACCGAAAAACTGACGTTCGTGAGAAGGATTTTCATTTTGATTTTATAAAAAATAGAAATATTAGTTCGGCTTGTGGACTTCTGCGAACATTAACGCACACCATACATGTATGTTCCAAAGAAACTTTGTGGTTACGACAACCTCGTGTGACATTCCCAAAATTGTTAAATCCCTTCTTATTCTAGACACCCGACTTTACACCCACAATTAAACACGGCATACAGAAAAGTTTTTTTAAATGAACACTTCCACACAACCACTTATATTCCGAATACCATTCATTCCAAAACTTTCGAACGTACACATTGTCTTTTGACTTCCCCTTTTTTCCATATCGAGTGAATAAGGCACAGGTCTCTCGCAATTTAAAAAATCCTTTTTGTCCTCAATTTTCCATCTGGAAAATGGCGTTTCCAATAAAATACATACTGGATCATACATAGGAAATAATAAACTGTTAAAGGCGCTGGCAGGCAAGCGGGAAATGGGCGATGCTAGGCTGGATGCTGCTTCTATTTCTGCGTCACTCATTCCCCCACACGACCGTCAACCGTCGTAAACAACACTACGAAGAGGAGCAGAATACGACTAATTTCAATTTGCGTCACTTGCGTATATTATACGTTGTATGGTCCGAGGTTGATGTTCGATTCCAACGAAGGCAATGTTTTTTTAGAAGGCATTTACCGCGCAACTATTCTGTTTATATCTGCATATTAAACAAACACAATACATTTTCAATATAAAATTATACCTAAATTATAAAATTTATATTAAAAATAATTTTAAATTGCACAACCAAACGGAAATTTTAGGTGAACGGTGCGTCACTTGCATCACCTGATGAGCCGCCACTGTAAATATGTTAGATTTGTTAATATAGTTTTGTGCATAATGAAAAGAACATAAATTATTTAGGGTCAGTGAAAATCATTGTTCCAGGAGGAATTAGAATCTGCATAATATGCAATGATTTACACTAATTATGTTTCCAAACACAAAAATCATGTGATACAGTGTGACTGTATTAATGATTTTTTCCATGTCACTATTTCGCCGTGTTTCTATTTCATAATGTGACTATTTTTTTCAAAATTTTAATAATGAATTAATTCACGAATTTATTCATAAAGGGTTTGGTTTTACACTGTTACAGACTTCGTGAATTTCTTTAACACATAAATCAGTTCTACCAACAAATCAAAGAAGCTAATAAAGTTCGTTTCGTTCAAAAAAATGTCTTACTTTTCCAATGGTACAACAGCAGTACTGTTTTGACACTGTTTGTAAATATTAGTTTTTGTAAGCAACAGATCGGTAAAAACAATACAAAAGTAGTACAACGCCACACGCTAATAACATAACTTCATTACTGATCTAAGGCTGAAGATTTGTAGGGGTGGTACTTCTGAACTTCACGAAAATTAGAACATGTTCTAATTCGTGAAGAACTTTATGAATGTATTCATGAAGTTATTTGGCAGCAGATTAGGTGCATTATACTTGTCTAATTTCTTCACAAAACGATTTCATGAATAAACTCGCAAAGTAAAATAGCTATTACCAATTCTGATGGCTTTATATTATGATTTTTGTATGCTTACTGACCTATGTCTGTCAACTTAATATGGCAATGTAATAATCACCAAAATTTATTATATTATAAAATATTTTCAAGCAAGTTCTTATAAGCCTTATTTTACATCTATGGTTAATGGAATCTAATTACGGTTCTGATTTGTATGAATTAGTGTTAATAAGTGATTTGTAGTATGAATTAATCTGTCTCTGATATTAATTATAATCATTTAATTTTATAAACAAGTCTATTGGAATGAAAAGGATACAATTTTTTCCAGGTAGCCCCTAAACCTTTCAAATTACCTGCACGCCCAACAAAGAGCTCGTCAGATCCACAGTTTAAAAATTTGGTTTCTTTGCAAATTTTTGCCGCTTCATAATATAACTGCCTATAATGATTACTTTGAGATATATCTCCAATAGCTTTATAAATTGCGGCAGCTACTGCATATATACCACAATTGCCTAAAATAAATGATGGCACATCCTTTCTGTTGCTTGTTGAATGTGTTGCAACAACAATAGCTGGTTTTAAATATTCAAGAGCTTTATTTAAATATTCACTTCTATTTTCACTCAATGTAGGAACTTTGCTCAGATGATAGAACATATAAGCAACACCCGCTGTTCCTAAATATACCCCATCGCCACCATTTCGTTCCACAGGTTTTACATAATGTTGTATTTTAGTTACGACGTCATTTATACTGTCTTTCAGTAGAATTTCTGGAATCTCTGGATTTCCGAAATGGGATTCAAAATCTGGTTTTACATTTATGAAATAACGAAGAGTTGTCATATTTCTTATAACCTTACCAGATCCTTTTCGCAAAAGATTATGCAATCTAGAAAACATTTACTGTTTGTCTTGTATAACATAGCACTGACATATTTGAAATTGTAAAAACACCTAAAAAAATGATTTGTTTACAAAACAAAAAAATATTGAGATGTTCGTAGCTTCTTCGTCTTACGATTTAATAATTTGACAATTTGAACTAAAAATGAAATGTATTCATTTGACCTACATATAATCAAAAATAAAAAAATATGTATTCCACAGCAATGCCAACTTATACATACCAAGAATGTAGAAAATGCCCAAGGATATTTATAATACATTAGCTTTAAATAGAAACTATAGAAAGGATATCTTCATATTTTCAATAATTATTGGAAAAATTGCGTGCGAAACTATTCCGATCTCGTTCAGCATGCAGAAACGATCAGTGACATTAGTTATCAATTTTACATTTGATCAGTGCCGTGCTGAATGGCATTTTTGTTCATGATTTTTTTAATCATTATTCGTAATTTGACTTATTTTTCTGGGATTAACGATATGTGCGTGATATATATTTTTTAACATCTTTATCTGCGGTATGGGAACATAAGTCGAAATGCCTATAACTGAGGCTAAATATAATTTTGTGTTGATTCAGGTAATAATAAATAACAAAAAAAAGAGCAAAAAATGGGAACTAATTATTAAAATTGGCACTATTTAGGCTATCAAAAAATTTAATATTGTGATTGTGAATCATTTCATAAAATATATTCGCATACGTTACCCATGCAAGATATTTTTAAAGTCCATAGACTGCTCGTTAAGTTATTTTAACGGTACAGGGTACCGGCCAAAAATATAACCTTATGAAAACAATTGTTAGAATAAATAAGTTGCTTACAAATTATGTACGTGGTTAAATCTTTACCACTTAGTTCTGTGAGACCCTGAATTCTTATATTTATGTCACCAATGAAACGGAACTCGTCAAAATTTTCTCAATTTTAGATTATTATTAATGTTTTATTATATGTTATATAACAAACATTTTGCTCCCAGCGCCAGCGAGTAGACTTTATCACTAGCAGGATGCCGGATTGACATTACTTGATTCGTCTCGAAATAAGAGTGTTACTGATGACAATCTAGTGACCATTATTTATATTTATAATAAGACCTTTTATATGATATTTATTGAATCGATTCAAACTCAGGACATATCTGGGATTGATGCATCCAGCAAACACATTAGAGAAAGATCCATAGCTCACCTGTTACCAAAATTAGAAGCAGATCTTTGGTAATAATCGTTAACAACTTTTACTATTAGAGTTGAAATCAATTGATTTGAACTGAAATACTAGATTACATAAAAAGAAAACAACTAATGAATTAATTAAAAATGTTGGTATTTTTTAAATTTTGTGGTTGGTACCATTGTGGTTTCCTCTGCGTGGCAGAAGAGGCCCTCCTTAACTTTCTCATCTCTCTTTCTTTCACGGGAGTGCGCCATCGTTGGCGTATCGTATTTTCGTTGTGTAAAGGAAAATCTATAAACATCCAAGATGGTAAGTTTTTAAAAATGATTATTATATTTCTAAAACGCTAAGCTATTATTATTTTGCCACTGTGACCGGTTATTTTTTTGTTTATTGATTATTTTCCGAATATTTCTCCTTTCGGGTTATTGCACAATAATATGAAAGTTTCTAAAAGGAAATATGTTTATATTACTATTCTATTTAACGAAATTCATGTTATTATTTCTTAGATATTTCTTACAAGTTGGTTATGATTTGACATTTAATTCGATTAGTTTCTATAAAGAAACACAAATATTAAATATAAATATGGTAGATGGTATGACGTCGACGCATGCTGCATTTTAATGCAGTTCCTATATTGTCAATTTGATATGTATCTTGCAGTATTTAGTAATTATGCATTTTTTTTTAATTATAGGTGAACTTTACTGTAGACGAAATTCGTACCATGATGGACAAAAAAAGGAACATTCGTAACATGTCCGTCATTGCTCATGTAGACCATGGAAAATCTACTTTAACAGACTCCCTTGTATCAAAGGCCGGTATTATTGCCGGTGCTAAAGCTGGAGAGACCCGTTTTACTGACACTAGACCGGATGAACAAGAACGTTGTATTACCATCAAATCGACGTAAGGTATTTTTGGGATTGCACAACTTGAGTAATAAACTGATATTTTTGTAGTGCCATATCTATGTTCTTTGAGTTAGAAGATAAAGATCTTGTATTCATTGTCAGCCCAGACCAACGTGAAAAAGATGAAAAGGGTTTCTTAATTAATTTGATTGATTCTCCTGGACACGTAGATTTTTCTTCTGAAGTAACTGCTGCTCTTCGTGTAACTGATGGTGCTCTAGTAGTAGTAGATTGTGTTTCCGGTGAGTTTTGTGATTTAATTATGGTCCGTTATAGGAAATTTTGTACATTTCAAATTTGTAACCACTTAAGATAAATTGGAGAGGTTTCAGATTAACAATTTTTTTTTTTAGGTGTATGTGTACAAACTGAAACTGTACTTAGACAAGCCATTGCAGAACGTATCAAGCCAATTTTGTTCATGAACAAAATGGACCGCGCTTTATTGGAATTGCAACTAGAAGCTGAAGAACTTTTCCAGACTTTCCAACGTATTGTTGAGAATGTTAACGTCATTATTGCCACTTACAGCGATGATAGTGGCCCCATGGGTGAAGTCCAGGTAACTAACTATTTTTGCACATAAATACTTTGTGTTTATTGAGTTGGCCTTTTTGTGGTTTAGTGCGTAATAGCTAAATGATCGTGCCGGCTCATAAATAAATTCATATTTTGCCCTGCTACCATTTTATCAGTGATTGTAGCAGTTTCCTACAGTGAAACAGATTTTTTTTTAATATATAACTACTTTTGCAGAATAAATTAGGTATTTTATTGTAATCTTGATGTAGGTTGATCCCAGCAAGGGTTCTGTGGGTTTCGGCTCTGGTCTCCATGGATGGGCTTTCACTCTTAAACAATTCGCTGAGATGTATGCTGAAAAATTCAAGATCGATGTAGTCAAGCTAATGAACAGATTATGGGGAGAGAGCTTCTTTAATCCCAAAACCAAGAAGTGGTCCAAGCAAAAGGATGCTGACAACAAACGTTCCTTCTGCATGTATATCCTTGACCCCATCTACAAGATATTCGATTCCATCATGAATTACAAGTAAGTGATAGTGATTTAATAGAAAATTTGTACATTTAACTTTTGACTGTTTTACCATTGACTATTTTATTTGATTTGAATGGTGGAATGAAAATGCTATTAAATGAAAACACAATATTCTTGTGTTTCACATATTCTATATCATTGTGATTCTAAAAAATATATGTAAAACTATAAAATAATAAAGTATATATTCTCTTTCATGCAGCAATGTCACTGTTTACATCACGGTTTTATGTATTTACCAACTTTGTTTTCATTATGAGATAATTTTTAAATTGGCAGATTTATGTAAATATACAGGGTGTCTTTATATGAATGAACATAATGAAGGTTTACTGCACCTACTCTAGGAAAATTTGCTTCATCGGTGAAAAGTATATTCATTAGGAAATTTAAGTCATGCCTGGAAATGTTAATGTACCATTGACAAATATCCACGCGGTTAGGTAAATCAGGGTCATTCAATTCTTGCATGGGTTGATGGTGAAAAAGGTATACAAAATTTTCAGGACCTACATTCCACACAAGACTGTGAGAAACTTGCAGTTGCCTGGACACCTGTCTTGTGCTTGTACCACAGTCTTGTTCTAGATGTTCCAGTATAGCTTCCTCAGTTTCAACAGTTCGGACATTACGCCTTCTTCCGGCACCCTCACAATTGGGCTGAATTTTACCAGTTTCGCGAAGCTTTCTTTTCACCGAGGCTAATGTTTCTCTATGAGGAATCGGTCGGTTTGGATATCTTTGGTGGTATAATCTTACTGCAGCGTTACTATTTTTTCTGAATTAGAAAAATATTTGGGGCATGTCGACATATTCGTTATTGGTATAAATATTATTTGCCATAATTATTCTGATAATAAATTAATCAATTGGTACTAATTATTGGTTGACAGAAAATGTCAATTTATTCATATGATTAATAACAATTTATTTGTTATGACGTCCGCCTACTTTATATTTACAAATTTTCGCAATTACCCCTTTAGTGAACGATGACACATCTAATTTTTTTACTAGTCGGTTTTAACTGTTGGTTTTATCAAAAAATTACAAGAGGTAAAAAAGTTGCGCAATAAATCAGTCTTCCCAATAAATATTTTTAAATAAATAATTTGCTTCATATAAAAAATTTCTAATAAAATATTGCAATGGGGTTGACTGTTTCACTCCTTTATAAAATACGCCAATGATCAAACAAATATTGAAAAGTTGTCTCTTTATTAGTAGGATGCTCACACCAAGTTTCGTGTCTCTAGCATTCCTCACGTTAAAGAAAAAAATTAAAATGTGAATTTCAATGTATATCGCCCCAGGGTTGCAACTTTCATATAAGGTATTTTTACTTCAATCCTCTTATTTTTGGCTCTACATTCACTGGTACCATTTTTGTTACCTCATTTAAAACACCCTGTATAGGGTGACTCAGATTTCATCGATTTCGAGGGTGGTAGTAATTTTGAAATTTATCAGGTTTTTTTATATAAACTTTTCCCTCCCTCTTTTAGATACAAGATGATGAAAATTAAAAATAAAAATTACAATTTTTTGTAATTTACCAACTAAAAACCTGTACATGAACTATCCAGTATTTTTCCATGGTTAAACAAATAAAACTATGATAGTTCTAAGTTTGCTTTGCAGTTTAATGAAGATATAACAGGATTTGTAGTGGCCTGGAAAACCGGAAATACCGGGAAAAGTCAAGGAATTCATTATTCATCATAAAAAAACAGAATAGTCAGAGAACTTTAAAAGTATTTATGAAAGTCTGGGAATTTGATGTTTGCAACTGGAAATTTTGTGAAAGCCGGCTCTGGGTTCTTGAAAGAGAAAAATATTTGTGGTTTTGAAACCTTTAAAAGAGGTTCTTTGGGTATAAAAAGGATTATGAAGTCCAGTCTAGAAAAAATTTAATGCATAAACACCAATTAGTACGTAAAAATGAACTACAAGTGACTTGGATTTTTTTATAACTCGGGGAAAACTTGGAAAAGTCAGGGAATTTTATATTGCTTTTGAACTATGAACCCTGTATAAAGAACTGAATTTGCTATGAAGTTGGCTTTAAAAAATATCAGACATTTTTTATTTTAAATTAAAAAATAATTTTTTAGTATATCTGTTGTCACTACATTTTTAAGGTATTAGGTATAACTATATTTCAGTTAGTTTGGATATCAAAAAATATTTTTTTAAACTAAATATCTGCTTGTATTTGAAGAGAACATTTTTTGAGAGTGCATATGAAAAACTATTTTCTAAAATACTTCGTGTACCTTCAGAAGCAATGCTAAATTAACCTCGCTTTTTATATCTTTGTCTACCATGTGGGATTGGATCATTACTGACATTGAAAGCATTTGCAATTTTTCTAAAAGTATCTGGATCTTCCTTTACCATGTTCAGCGCATTTTCTTCAAATTCTACTGTTCTTATTCTCTTTGGCTGTCCTGGTCCTCCATTTTGTTTAAATGTGTCAAGACATTGATGAGTTTTGAAAACGTAGTCAAAATGTCACTTTCTGCTTTTTTTTCCCTCTTTGTGGGGTCTTAGGTAGTTAGTAGCAGTGGCCAACTAGATGTAGCATTCAGTTACATCTTTTAAATGTACTCGATTTCTGGGTTCAAGGAATCAAAGCAGCTGGACAGTTTGTTGGTTGTAGCACTGATGAAGACTAACAAGTCCGAAACAGTTATGGGTCTGGTGTGTTGGACCTAGCTGTATTTAATGTTTATAGTATAGCTGGTGTAATCCAATACTAGTTGGGGCATATAGCCAGTAGAGTTGTTGTTTTCTGTAATAAAATAACTTAAATGCCCAAAAAAGTGTTTTCACCTTGTATCTTTGAAATGAAGAGTTTTCCGAATAGTATAAAATATTCTTAAAATAATACAAAATTTGGTAAAAACTCTGTATGATTGGTTTTGTTAACCACCTTTTATTATATTGATGGTCTCAAATTAGAAATTTAAATGTGGTACAAATAAAAAAAAATGTTGCTCTAATGATTTATAATTAATTATTTATTAATAAAAAAGTCTAATCGAGACTAGAGAAAAAGAATCGGTTAAAATTAAAAATTTAATTTTCTTGCTGACCATGTTAAATTAGTGTATTAAAGTATATTTACACAACCCTTATAATTTTAAGGAAAGAGGAATACGAGGCACTTCTTCCCAAACTCGGCATCACCCTCAAACATGAAGACAAAGACAAAGATGGCAAACAGCTACTGAAAGTGGTGATGCGTACTTGGCTACCAGCCGGCGAGGCTTTACTGCAAATGATAGCCATTCATCTCCCATCCCCTGTCACTGCCCAAAAGTACAGGATGGAAATGTTGTATGAAGGACCCCATGATGACGAGGCCGCCTTAGGTATTAAGAATTGTGACCCTCACGCACCCCTTATGATGTACATCTCCAAAATGGTACCCACTTCTGACAAGGGCCGTTTCTACGCTTTTGGCCGTGTATTCTCTGGCAAAGTAGCCACCGGCATGAAAGCCCGTATCATGGGCCCCAACTACACCCCTGGCAAGAAAGAGGATTTGTACGAGAAGGCCATCCAGCGGACAATCCTCATGATGGGTCGTTATGTGGAAGCTATTGAAGACGTCCCCTCTGGTAACATTTGCGGTCTGGTAGGTGTTGACCAGTTCTTGGTGAAGACTGGAACCATAACAACATACAAGGACGCCCACAATCTGAAGGTCATGAAGTTTAGTGTATCTCCCGTTGTACGTGTTGCTGTGGAACCCAAGAATCCTGCCGATTTGCCGAAGCTGGTAGAAGGTAAGCCCTTGCATTTAGCTTATTTCCAGTAGTTCCCCTTCCAGCACAACCAGAGCCAAAGGACAGTTTGGTTGTGGCAGTTCCTTGCGGAACTGCCACTGCTGAAACGGTGACCCTCTTGGCAGTGCAATGGAAGAAGATTGTGTTTACTTGCATTTAAACGCTACCACAGGACCTCTTTCTTAATGTCCAGTTGTGAAATGCTACGGTGCAAGTCATACACTTCTGCTTCTAGATTGAACACAATTTGTTATATACAGGGTGATTAATTAACAATGGGAAAATCGAAAGCTGAAGATACTACACGTGAAATGGCGACAATTGGCGCAAACATGCCTTATCAGAAAGTTGATAGTTTCGGAAATACAGGGTGTTGAAAGTTAAAATTTTAAATCGTAAATTTAAATTAAAATGCGATTATTCTGAAAATATGTAGGTTAGGAACTTGAAAATTTTCGAAACTATATTTTTTTAGGCGACGAATAAGATGCGTGTTGCAATTTCAGCGTTGCTCATAGAGGGCGCCACTTACAACCAATTTNTTTTCCCTCCCTCTTTTAGATACAAGATGATGAAAATTAAAAATAAAAATTACAATTTTTTGTAATTTACCAACTAAAAACCTGTACATGAACTTTCCAGTATTTTTCCATGGTTAAACAAATAAAACTATGATAGTTCTAAGTTTGCTTTGCAGTTTAATGAAGATATAACAGGATTTGTAGTGGCCTGGAAAACCGGAAATACCGGGAAAAGTCAAGGAATTCATTATTCATCATAAAAAAACAGAATAGTCAGAGAACTTTAAAAGTATTTATGAAAGTCTGGGAATTTGATGTTTGCAACTGGAAATTTTGTGAAAGCCGGCTCTGGGTTCTTGAAAGAGAAAAATATTTGTGGTTTTGAAACCTTTAAAAGAGGTTCTTTGGGTATAAAAAGGATTATGAAGTCCAGTCTAGAAAAAATTTAATGCATAAACACCAATTAGTACGTAAAAATGAACTACAAGTGACTTGGATTTTTTTATAACTCGGGGAAAACTTGGAAAAGTCAGGGAATTTTATATTGCTTTTGAACTATGAACCCTGTATAAAGAACTGAATTTGCTATGAAGTTGGCTTTAAAAAATATCAGACATTTTTTATTTAAAATTAAAAAATAATTTTTTAGTATATCTGTTGTCACTACATTTTTAAGGTATTAGGTATAACTATATTTCAGTTAGTTTGGATATCAAAAAATATTTTTTTAAACTAAATATCTGCTTGTATTTGAAGAGAACATTTTTTGAGAGTGCATATGAAAAACTATTTTCTAAAATACTTCGTGTACCTTCAGAAGCAATGCTAAATTAACCTCGCTTTTTATATCTTTGTCTACCATGTGGGATTGGATCATTACTGACATTGAAAGCATTTGCAATTTTTCTAAAAGTATCTGGATCTTCCTTTACCATGTTCAGCGCATTTTCTTCAAATTCTACTGTTCTTATTCTCTTTGGCTGTCCTGGTCCTCCATTTTGTTTAAATGTGTCAAGACATTGATGAGTTTTGAAAACGTAGTCAAAATGTCACTTTCTGCTTTTTTTTCCCTCTTTGTGGGGTCTTAGGTAGTTAGTAGCAGTGGCCAACTAGATGTAGCATTCAGTTACATCTTTTAAATGTACTCGATTTCTGGGTTCAAGGAATCAAAGCAGCTGGACAGTTTGTTGGTTGTAGCACTGATGAAGACTAACAAGTCCGAAACAGTTATGGGTCTGGTGTGTTGGACCTAGCTGTATTTAATGTTTATAGTATAGCTGGTGTAATCCAATACTAGTTGGGGCATATAGCCAGTAGAGTTGTTGTTTTCTGTAATAAAATAACTTAAATGCCCAAAAAAGTGTTTTCACCTTGTATCTTTGAAATGAAGAGTTTTCCGAATAGTATAAAATATTCTTAAAATAATACAAAATTTGGTAAAAACTCTGTATGATTGGTTTTGTTAACCACCTTTTATTATATTGATGGTCTCAAATTAGAAATTTAAATGTGGTACAAATAAAAAAAAATGTTGCTCTAATGATTTATAATTAATTATTTATTAATAAAAAAGTCTAATCGAGACTAGAGAAAAAGAATCGGTTAAAATTAAAAATTTAATTTTCTTGCTGACCATGTTAAATTAGTGTATTAAAGTATATTTACACAACCCTTATAATTTTAAGGAAAGAGGAATACGAGGCACTTCTTCCCAAACTCGGCATCACCCTCAAACATGAAGACAAAGACAAAGATGGCAAACAGCTACTGAAAGTGGTGATGCGTACTTGGCTACCAGCCGGCGAGGCTTTACTGCAAATGATAGCCATTCATCTCCCATCCCCTGTCACTGCCCAAAAGTACAGGATGGAAATGTTGTATGAAGGACCCCATGATGACGAGGCCGCCTTAGGTATTAAGAATTGTGACCCTCACGCACCCCTTATGATGTACATCTCCAAAATGGTACCCACTTCTGACAAGGGCCGTTTCTACGCTTTTGGCCGTGTATTCTCTGGCAAAGTAGCCACCGGCATGAAAGCCCGTATCATGGGCCCCAACTACACCCCTGGCAAGAAAGAGGATTTGTACGAGAAGGCCATCCAGCGGACAATCCTCATGATGGGTCGTTATGTGGAAGCTATTGAAGACGTCCCCTCTGGTAACATTTGTGGTCTGGTAGGTGTTGACCAGTTCTTGGTGAAGACTGGAACCATAACAACATACAAGGATGCCCACAATCTGAAGGTCATGAAGTTTAGTGTATCTCCCGTTGTACGTGTTGCTGTGGAACCCAAGAATCCTGCCGATTTGCCGAAGCTGGTAGAAGGTAAGCCCTTGCATTTAGCTTATTTCCAGTAGTTCCCCTTCCAGCACAACCAGAGCCAAAGGACAGTTTGGTTGTGGCAGTTCCTTGCGGAACCGCCACTGCTGAAACAGTGACCCTCTTGGCAGTGCAATGGAAGAAGATTGTGTTTTACTTGCATTTAAACGCTACCACAGGACCTCTTTCTTAATGTCCAGTTGTGAAATGCTACGGTGCAAGTCATACACTTCTGCTTCTAGATTGAACACAATTTGTTATATACAGGGTGATCAATTAACAATGGGAAAATCGAAAGCTGAAGATACTACACGTGAAATGGCGACAATTGGCGCAAACATGCCTTATCAGAAAGTTGATAGTTTCGGAAATACAGGGTGTTGAAAGTTAAAATTTTAAATAGTTTTTTTGCCATTATTCTGGAAATATGTAGGTTAGGAACTTGAAAATTTGTGAAACTATATTTTTTTAATCGACGAATAAGATGCGTGTTGCAATTTCAGCGTTGCTCATAGAGGGTGCCACTTACAACCAATTTTACCGAAAATTTAGTTAATAACTTTACCCTGTATGTTTAACATGAAACTTGATTCAAAACGTAAAAAAGCAATCATTTTTCCATTAATTATGTATTCTTGTTTCATTTCGGTATCTCGATCCGTTCTCGAGAAATAAAACAGATGAAATACGTAATTATGATTTAAAGTAATTGTTCGAAGAATCCACACTGATACACTTTACACGTTTTCTGGGAAATCTACGAGTTTGAAACAACCTATTGGGATTGCATCTGACTTCGTTGGCAATGATTTGTATAGTTTGCCACAACTCTTTACGCGAGCTATACTCGACGGCCGAAATTATAGATATTGATTCATCGCTAGCTCTTGGACTAGTAAGGAAGATGAGGCGTGCGGGGATCGAAAATCCATAGGCGTGTATACGTAAAAGGCAACAAGATGTAGAAAATATGGAAAAAATATAATAAAACATAACATCTATTATTTTTATAGGTTTTATCGAGAAAACTTCAAAAATATTTTAGTAACATTTTGTTTTTAAATTTTAAGTGTTTTCTATAAAACGATGCCCTCTTGGGCATCGATAACCCACCACCACCCGGCTTACGCCGCCGCAAAATATTGTAATGTTTACTATTAATATATTTATTTAAGTAGGTACTTACATATTTTATAATAATTATCTCACGAATATTATCACTGTCACACTTTCACTTCACTGCCACATAATCACTTCACTATTAATATATTTAAATACTTACATATCACATTATTCACATTATATATTTCACATATCACTGTTGCTATCACTATCACTAGAATCATCTTCACCCAAATGAATAATGACTGGTTCTATGAACACTTCTACCGTTGTATCAAGATCCCACATACGTTGTTCCTCTTTCTGTGCATGTCCAATACACTTACACCATGTTTCAGCAGTGACGTGATTAATAGCATCCTGTAATAATAATTTCACGTCGTTTATTTTAAAGGTGGTGTTTTTTCGTGCGATTTCATTCTTTATTTGTGCCCAAACCAACTCAATTGGGTTTAATTCACAGTGGTATGGCGGTAAACGGAGTACACGAATTCCTCGATCTTTGGCCATCTCATCCACTACATACTTAATGTATTGACCTTTTTCTCTTTGGACAATTTTTAATAATTGTACTTTTAGCATGGTTTCTGTATATTCAATATTTTTCGATTGTAACCAGTCCATAATATTTCCTTTTCTCCATGCTGATGTCGGTAACATTTCAACTCTTCTACTATGATAAGGTGCGTTATCCATCACAACAACTGCTCCTGGCTCCAGATATGATAAAACATATTCAAACCATTTTTCAAACACGTCGCTGTTCATATCTTCATGATAATCTCCCGTTTTTCGTGACTCAAATACATGCAAACCATTTTCTAAAAATCCCGTATCGCTTCCAATATGTGTTATAATCAATCTTCGTCCTTTTCCAGAAGGTGCCTTTAATCCAGTAGAAAATCCATCTAAAAATGCTTGTCTCTTACTCTTAACATTACCATCCTGCCAAACTTTTGATACAGTATGACCTTCGTTTACCCATGTTTCATCCATGTAATATATCTTCTTACCAGATGCACGAAGTTCTCTTATTTTTTCTAAGTATTCTCTTCGCCATACCACAATTTCGTCTTTTTCAACGAGCATACTATTCCGATTCCGTTTCAAATATCGAAAATTCATGTCACGCATTATTCTTCTAAGAACCTTATCAGAGAAATTAGGAATATCCTCATCTTCAGCTATTGCAGCTTGAATTTTCTTTATCGTTGGTATTTCATTTCTAAAGAAAAATCCATGAATTTTCCTACGTATGGAGTATTTCACGTCAACGTCGACTTCTATTTTCTTCCTCCCTCGTGTTTCCACTTTTTTCTTCTTTGGATTCACTTCTACACTATTTTTTATGGCACGATAAACAGTAGCAACGGATACTTTTGTCAACGAACTACACATATCAACAGCTTCACTTACACTTGTATTAGAATTTCGCGACCGAATTCCTTTATACACGTTTTTTACCATTATTAATTCCGCATCGCATAGGTTAGGGCGTTTATGAGCAACAGACCGTTTGCTACAACCGGCACTTTGATCCATTTTAATTATTATTCCTACGTTTTAAAACGTCCCGATTGTATTTTTTTAATTTATAAATTTACTATAGTCACGGAATATGCAAACCCTCGCGCGCGCTTATAGTTTGACGTTTCTAACTACGGCTAACTCGAATTCTACGTACGTCAGTTTACACCCACTAAAAAGAGCATTTCCATATCTGTAATAAGTGCGATAGACAGATAGGAAATAAATCGCGTTCAGTGTAACTCAGTCTATGACTGTTATAGATCCTATCGATGTGCAAAGAGAGCGGCACATCATTTAACATAAACAAATAATATTGAACCGTTATAAAAATCATTTTAAGTTTTATACACTCTACGGTAATTGTGTTTCTATATTATGTATGAATCACTATCTATATTTTCGGCCGTCGAGTATAGTAGATTATTTGTAAACTATATCTTTCATTCAAGACCAAATAGAAAAATCAAGAGGATTGAAGTCCGGATAGCCAAGCAAAAATGCTTACATGGCCAATCCAGCGATTTGGAAAAATTGCATCTAAATATGCACGCACTGGCCGAGAAAATGCGGTGGAGCTCTGACGTGCATGAACCACATGTTGTTTTGGCTTTTTGGCTTTCAAATATCACTAGAAATGAAAATTTTTCTATGCGTATAAAACGTGGGCTTAACTTTTGGCGGCACAATATGTTAAAAAAATTCGAAAAATTTCATATTTTTCTTCCTATTTAATTATGTATCATTTCAAGAGTTGATTTTAGACAAAAAAGGAAGAGGAAAAAAATTTTTGTAATTAAATTTTTTACAAAACATGACTACTTACAAATCGAATGAATCATGATTATTATGGTAAAAATCGAAAAAAATCACAAAAATGGGGTTAAAAAACTACTTTTTAGGGAATTTCTTTGGGGTATTTAAATTGGGTATAGGACCTTCATACTTGGCTCAAGAAAACTTCATGTTATGTAGAATTATCATACCAAATTTCATCAAAATCGGTTTGATAGATTTTGCATAATAATTTTGCAATCCAGATTTTGAAAAAAAAAATTGCAAATTTTCAAAATTTTGCATAGCAAAAACCAAGGCCCTTAGATCCTTGAAAATTTAATCACATAGAATCCCCACAATAAGATCCACTTCTTATTTGTGGAAGGGTGAAATGGGCGGTGACTATTAGACGCCTTCATTATAGCCATCTTTCTCTATCCCACGGATTTCTATGACTTACTTTATCGCTCTCACGTAACGGCCGATGAATCATGGGGACTTTCCGACTGTATAAGTGTCAACAGTGGATTCTTCGAAAAATTACTTTAAATCATTATTACAAATTTCATTTGTTTTATTGTTAATTGTTGTAATAACATGAAGAGACACTTGGTTTGTTTCGCTTTTAATTTCTTGGATTATCAAAACATAGTGTTCGTTAAATCAATTTTTCTCGAAAACGCACCGAGATACTGAAATGAAACAAGATTAATGGTAAAATGATTGCTCTTTCAGGTTTTGAATCAAGTTTCATATTAGACATGCAGGGCAAAAAGTTATTAACTAAATTTTTGGTAAAATTGGTCGTAAGTGGCGCCCTCTATGAGCAACGCTGAAATTGCAACACGCATATTATTCGTCGCTTACAAAAATATAGTTTCAAAAATTTTCAATTTCCTAACCTACATATTTTCAGAATAATTGCAAAAAAACGATTTAAAATTTTAACTTTCAACACCCTGTATTTCCGAAACTATCAACTTTCAGATAAGGTTGTTTGTGCCAATGGTCACCATTTCACGTGTAGTATCTTCAAATTTTAATTTTCCTATTGTTAATGAATCACCCTGTATATTCTATTAAAAAATTGTTTGCTTTTTGAAATTCAGGGTGTAGCTTTAAGTGGGAGGGTCAGTATTTTAGGGGTTATAGTATAGTACATGTTCCCCTGAATACGAATCTGAAATTCTTTTTTTTTTTTTTAATATATAGTCGAGTTATAATTAGTTTTTTAAAATGCATTGTGATTCTTATGTATGCCACTACTGTAATATTCATGTAATACAAATACATGAATTGTTGCCGATCCAAAGTGCATGCGGAGGGAGATAGTACAGGGACTTTATTCTTGAAATATAGGGAGTAGAAGGAACAAGAGAAAGGGGGTGTGCCTCTACTTAAAACTCATTAATCGGTATTCTTGAATGGTGTTCTATTGAGTAATGATAGAAGAATTGTTCCCTACTTCTACTGATATTTTCGAGGGAACAGGCAGGGATCAGTAAGCCTAACCCTATATTTTTGACATGTTTCACAAATTACGAGTTCCATAATCTGTCTGTGATATCTCTAGTTACTGTCTTGTGGTGATATCCTTCGAGAACTTTGAGGAAACGTTCGTATAATTTGTGTTTACTTGACGGATTGTACACGGCTAAAATAACAATAGAATAAAGTGAATTTGCCTAATATAGTATGGTAGGATGAAATAATCAACAAAATATTTGTAAGTTCTTCCCAGTTAGTCCTCATTTTTTCTCTAGTGTA